GGCTCCTATAAAAGGAAAAACTAAACAAACACCCAAACATACAAACAAACAACCAAAGCCAAAACCAACCACACAAACAAACAAAAACTTATACACTTTCTTTTTCCAAAAGAAAAGAAATAGGGCCCAGGAACAACCAGATTGAAGCAACCCAACATTCAGCAGTGTAAACCAAACCCTGTCTAACACTCATGACTTTTTGGGACTGAAAGGGCTTTGGGTGACCATTTGTCTCCAGCTCTGCCATCTGTAGCACACACAGCTTGTCTGGCAGGCTTGGGCCAGCTCCACTGCATACCTACTACTGCCTCTGGCAGTTGTACCATGGTGCTGGCATCTCCAGTATTCTGGGTCTCCACTTCAACATTAGTGCCTTCACTAATGGCCTCTGTTGGTCTGATCCTGCTACATGGCGCCATGACACAGCTTCTTCCCATGACCCCCTGAATCCTGCCAATTTTATGCTCCCGACAGCAGTACTCCATGAGACACTCTGATACATTCCCAGGTTCAGCTGCCACTGTTAGATGCAGCCTTGGTGTGCATTAGGCTATAAGCTTTGTGGGCTGACCCTGACAAAACACTTCCCAGAAGACCTTGTGTCAATTATGTTCATCTCTTGCTAGCCACAGCTGATTCTTCAGTCTCAACTGACCAGCAACCACATTCTTAATCTAAAATATTTCATAGATGACCTGATAGAGGCTTTGCTTATCTCGGACACTTCACAAGCCATGGCTCCATTGTCTGTATTTCTATCTGCAGAACAACCCGTCAAACTCTGAGCACTCAATGGCTTTTCCAGTCCAAAGTTACAGTATTTTCACAACTTAACAGAGTGGCAAAGTCTTCCTTGAAATTTCATTCTGTGGAATGGTCCTGTGGACCTTCAGAGGAAGTAACAGAGAATAATTAGTTTTAGCCCTAATGAGTCAGTTCTGGTACGTTAATTTCCTAACCATAGGAGCCTTCAATGTGACTGTTAAGTTTCCTGAGTCACTGAAGAAATATACCTTCAGCCCGTTGTACAATTATCTCAGGAATTATAAAGGCAATAAATGCATGATTGTGTTTTTATGAATACATTAAGGGAGAGATGTATAATTGGCACTTTAATGATCTACTGACAGCAAATTAGAAATTAATGTGATTACAAAATGATAATTACATTTGGCAAATAATTGGCATCACCTTCCAGTAGCCCCTTCCTACTATGTTGTTATTGCCTATGAGGAAGAAAATCAAATGAAGGCTGAATGGAGGCTATGGGAAAGAGTGAGTTAATTACCCAAACAAGTGGTTGATCTTTATGTTCTCACCCAGTGAGTCTTTGGGGTTTAATAACATCAGTAATCGACTATATATTTTTTCCTGCATGATGCACAAATGAAGTACAAACTTTTGTAATATAATTACCACCCTTAAATCACTTCATTTTTGATAGCTGGTAGCTGCTCAGGAGATGAGATTGCTCTTCATAATTCTCGTTAGTTTAAGAAGGAAATCTTGCCTCAGAAGAAGGGTAGAGACAGAAGAGCAGCGCCGTCATTGTATATCCACTCAGGCATGCTCAACCGTGCTTATATGCACAATCAGCTTCGCTAGTTTTTATTTTACTATTTCTCAATGTGTATATGCATAAGTGTCTCTGTGTGGGTATGTATACATGTGTGCCAGTGCCCATGGAGGTCAGAAGAGGATGTCTGATCTCCTGGAACTGGAGTTGCAGATGGTTGTGGGGTTCCTGATGTGGGTACTAGGAATCAAAATTCAGTTCTCAACAGAGCAGCAACCACTCTTAAACAGTGAGCCATCTCTCTGCAGGCCCCCACAATCAACTTTCACCTCACATCTGTGTATATGAAAAACGGTTTAAGAAAAAGGCTCCAAACATAAATTTACATCTTTTGAAGGAAAAGGTTTTTTTGGTGGTTCCATACACTGAACTCGGGGCTTTGTACACACTTTACACAAATTCTTGAGACTCAACCGAAAAGTTAATGTAGCCTTTCTATATTTGATGGGGCATTTGAGCTGTTTTCCATAGGTTAAAAATGCTGATAGAAATCAATACTCTTACACTGCTTTGATTAAGTAGTCATACTTATTGATAGGTAAGCTGTTCAGATTGGTAACTGAGACAGTGCTCCATCGGCTGGTAACTTGCTCTCACCCTATCTGCTGCTCTATGTACTGTCTCTATTGAATTTTACCGCATGCTTCCTGCTCGCTCCTGAAACTGAATAATAAGATTAAGCACCTCTCAGTAATGAGAGCAGACACTATATTGATGGATTCCCAGTTTCTCAGCTCTGCTCTTGGTCTTCCTTTCATATGCAATGCAGCGTTTCTAAACAGGTCTTTCTGAATTTTAATGTCTAGCACCAGCAGCTGTATTGTGAGACAACAGAAAACATAGGCAGAATGAGACCTGAGGTTGAGGCCACTTCACAGGGGCCACAAAATCATGTATTTGAAAACAAGAACAACATGTTGTTGTGCCAAAGGGATGGTTAAGTGGTGACTATTGGGTACAACTAGGGTCACTTATATCTGGCTATCTAGCTGCTGGTTCTGAGAGTTAATGCTTAAAAGTTCTTTGTGTTTCTAAGTTCTTGATTATAGACTGAATATTTATGATTCCAAAGATACATGCAGCATGAATTCATGTACTCATTGTGCTTTCAGCAATTACTTATTAAATATCAATGAGTTTAAATACTATGTTACCTCCCGGGCATATGGAAGTTGGCAAAGCAGACATAGTTTCCACCTTTGTGTGGAATATTTAGGCCCATATTGTTCTTCTGGAAAACAAACTCATTCAGATGAAGTCGTTTAGTTCTCTCTTCCTTCCCCCTTTACCTACTCCTCTTTTCTTTCTTTTCTCACAGGGTTCCAAAAGTTATTTTCATTGTGATACAGGGCTGATAACATTTGGTTTATTAGGTGATGCTGTTTGGGGTATATGAGATAAAGTCCTGGGGACCAGTCATACATCCGTTGAGCTCATTTCTTTTTGATGGTTGTGTGTTCCTAGGTGTATTAAAAGTTCTGAGGAAGGCCATTAATGCTTAAGAATACACTTTATTAGTTCTTCCTTCACTCCTTCATTGTTGCAAGCAAGTGCACAGAGGCCAAAGTTCCACTCTGGTTGCTTTCACAGTATCTGGAGTTCACAGTTGCAGGGAACCTGGGTGGGCCAGCAGTGAACCTGGGTGGACCAGCAGTGAACCTGGGTGGGCCAGCAGCCTCTGGGATCTGCTCTCTTTGTACTCATAGCACTGGAGTTACAGGGTGCGCTGCTGTACATAGTTGTCATTGTGAGTGCTAAAGATGTAAACTCGAGTCCTCACTCCTGAGCAGCAAGCACTTCACCCACTGATCCATTTCCATGGTCTTTTCTTCATTTTTATTAAGGAAGATTGCAGTGAATGACTAAGGGTTACTATCATGGGCCAGATGATTTCTATAGATTGTAGATAGATACTATATAATGTCTCATGGACATTTTGAGATGGCACGTAGTCTCTTTTGGTAGTGAAGAAATTGAGGCTAAGCAAGAGTTCAATACTTGTCTAGAGTTCCACAATTACATAAGACAAAGCTGTGATTGGAACTTAAGATTACAAAAGGACAAAGCCCCTTTGCCCTCTTCATTTCTTACTGCGTCTAGAGCCCTTAGGTGGCCTTTCTAATCACTGTTACTATCTGTAACTCATCGAGACTCCTCTTACCTTCTTCAGGTAGGAATGAAAGCAGAGGATGGTTCTCACCTACAAGACAGGATTTCACTACCCTCTTGTTATTTTTATGTTAGCTCAGTACTAAAAACACTAATACTCTAATACTCTCACATTGACATGGTACAAAAGTTGACTGCGTTTTTCGATCGATTAAAAAAAAAGACATTTTATTTTTTCTTCTTTTTTTTTTCTGGGCTAATGAGGAAGATAACCTGGTCACTAAAATATATTAAGAACATGAGGTCTCTATAGATTCTGTTTTCACATAGGATTAAGAGACAGCTTTTTTGCAGATGGAGAAACAAGATGTGAAGGCATAGCCAAATTAATTTTGATTCACCCTGGAGCTGATGTTTAGTTGCAAGAGTAATAAAGGCCACATTGCTAGACTCATTACATGAAGCCAATCTTTCAACAGAGCCATTGCTCTGCTTGTGCTGGTGGCTTTGGAATTACCATTGCTTAGCATTTCTTAGAAGGTGGTCACAGCGCACTTGTAAATAAATATCACCGGCTGCACATTTTATTTTAGGAACCTTATTTGCTTACCACAAAATGGAGGTTTTTGCTCGACTTTGAAGTCTGCTCAGCAAGAAAACTGTATTTCTAACTGAATAAAAGCTTTTAAGCTTGATACATTGCCTTTGGTCGCTTTTATGCCTCTTTGCAATAACTTCCCATAATCCCCATGTGTAGCAAACACTAGTGTCAGTAGATAAGGTTTTTTTTTCCTGTGGGGGTTAGAATTAATTGCAAGGATTTAAGGAAGACAGCATGCATTTACTAGGTTCCCCAAATTTGGGAAGCTCAGGGTTGTATGAATGCAACTGCTTATGGTTCCAATTACTAGCAATGGTGGTTTAAAGTTTGAATGTACAATAGGCATGCTTGCCCATTTCCATAATCCCAGCACTTGACTTGGAAGGTAGAGGCAGGAGGACCAGGAGTTTAAGGACAGGCCAGTTTGGGCTACATGAGACTCTTAAGGAAATAAGAGAATGCTAGAAGAAATTTACTAGAAAAGCTGCACCTGCCCTTAGAGATATATGTAAGATCTATTCATTTTTTTATTCACTCTATTTCGACAATAATTCATTGAATGTTTGCTGTATGTTCTTTTAGGAGAGAGAAAAGAAAATGGGATGATCATGACCTTATTTGTTCTTGGAAACTTTTATAGAATTTACAGGAAGCTGTCTGGATCAGTAGTATGCTTTAAGGGAAGCTTTTCTTTTCTTTCATGTATTGTCTTAGCTAGGGCTTCTATTGCCCTGAAGAGACACCATGACCACAGCAACTCTTATAAAGGAAAGCATTCAACTGGCTTGGCTTACAATTTCAGAGGCTCATCATGGCAGGGAGCATGGCAGCATTCAGGCAGCCATGGTGCTGGAGAAGGAGGTGAGAGTTCTACATCCTGATCTGAAAGCAGTAGGAGACTGGGTGTGGCTTGAGCATATTTGAGACCTCAAAGCCCACCTCCACAGTGACACACTTCCTCTAACAAGTTTACACTTTCTAATAGTGCCACTCCCTATGGGCCAAACACTCAAATACCTGATTCTTTGGGGGTCATTCCTATTCAAACCATCATATGTATGGATATTTTATCTTTCAATGTTTATGAGATCTCTAGTGGTGATTTATTTCATTCCTGGCACTGTTTGTACCTTTTTCTGAAGGAGTTTATCACTTGCTTTTTCAATAAACCAACTGTTTTTTCAATGGTATTCTCTATAGTATATCTTCAAATATATATATATATATACATATATATATGTTTTGTGTTTTTGTTTTTTTGTTTTTTGAGACAGGGTTTCTCTGTATTGTTTTGGAGGCTGTCCTGGAAATGGCTTTGTAGACCAGGCTGGCTTGTAACTCACAGAGATCTGCCTGCCTCTGCTTCCCAAGTGCTGGGATTAAAGGCATGAGGCACCAACACTCAGCTAAAAAATATTAATACATACTTTTACCATTATTATTTACTTGGGCTCAATGTTCTGTTTATTTATTTTTTTTAAATTTCTTGTTGTATAACAGTTTTCCCCCGAGAATGAGAATGCAACCTTCCATCCTGCAGGGAAACTCTTTGAGCAGAGATATAAACAATTCAAAACAGATTCAGGAAGTCCCTGAAACTGACCAGCTTCACTGGGCTCCTCCCTCTCAGATAAGTCAAGCTGCCAAGAAGACTCTGAGACCAGACCAGCTGCCTGCAAGAGGCAGACACCAACTGAGCTGCTGGGAAGAGGTTTAAACCAACAGAGTCACCTGGAAAGAATACTCTCCCACCTGTTGAGCTGCCTGCTGGGTGTTCCATGTGCTTCAGATTCCCTGCTTTTGTGAGCTGTCACCTGTTCTGGGGTAGGCTTTGGTGATTCAGCTCTCTTTGAGACATTTCTGCTTTTGTAAATAATCTTGTACTCATATTCCTGTAAGTTACACCAATAAAACTCATCCATTCATCAAACTGGCCTTTGGTGGTATCATGCTTTGATCTGTTATGGGTGCCCTACCTAGGTGAATAGATGTGCGTGTTGTATCTTCCCCAGAAAAGTGTTGTCACACATCGTACTCAAAAGGGTTACTTAACCAACTTATTTTTTAAATCTTTCTTCATTTTTATTAGGGATTAGACATTTCAACCTAAATGTGGAATATATATTTGCATATATACTTAAATGATATATACATATATAATGAGATAACTTCTTGAATTACTGAAATTTATGTTTAATTAATAATATTAATATAAGTATTTAATTTTTCTAATTATCTGACCTACTACTACTGGTACAAAAGAATCTACTCTGTTATGATTCTGATCTTTCAAAAATTTTTGAGAATTCCTTCACAGCTCCAAATATTACAGCTTTTGTAAATGTTTTCATACTTCTTAAAAAGAATATGTAGTCTTCAGTCATTAAGTATAATGTCACATATTTTTTTTTCAATCATGGAGATCTGTTTTTTTGTTTGTTTTTTTGTTTTTTTTTTACATCTTTGTCCCAACTGACATTTTTTTTTTGAGTGCTGGGATTAAAGGAATGAGCCATGCTGGTTTGTGACTATCTCTTCTAGCTATGAGACAGGTATATTGAAGTTTCCCATTATAGTTGTGGATTTGAATATTTTAAGGGTTTTGTTTACATGATCTCACTATGTAGCCCTACATTTCATGGAGCTTGCTATGTAGGCTGGACTGACTTTAAACTTGGGGTGCTTACTCTGTCTGCCCCCTGAGTGTTGGATTTATAGGGGTGCCACCATGCTCAGTTCTGTTTCTTTTGCTTTATATGTGTTAGAAGCAATTGTAAGGGATACAAGTAAATCTGACATAGTTCTGAATTAGTACAGACTCTGTTATTGGTATTTTTATTGTTAGGTTCTTCAAGTGTAGTAATATTCTTTTTAAAAAGTCTTATTTTTGTGTTGGTCATATAGCTGATGAACCTTTCATTTTGACTAGTATTTTCATAGCATCTTCTATCCTCTTACCTTCAATCTTATACATTATATTGAAATACATCTCTTTAATCTCTGCATATATGTATTCATAAATATATATTTAAACACACAGCGAGAAACGTCTATTTTTAACCACAGATATTGTGTTTGTTTATACAGAAGGAAATTGTTGACACACGTGGGCCTTCACTACCATCTTACTGTTTTCCATTTGTCTTGAATAGTCTTTGTTCTTTTTAAAATCTCTTCTTTCTTTGCCTTTGGATTATTTTCTATGATCCCAAGTTTAACATTATCTTCCTGTTCTTCTATTATTTATCCTAAGGATTAGATTATGTATCCCGAAGTATCAAAGTCTAATAATGTATTAGTATTTTTCCCTCATACTAAGTAAAGTGAATCTCAGAATAGCATCCCTCAAGCGTGATTCGTGGAACAGGCAGCTGTTCTACCCACTGTATCTACTTAATGAGCTCAGAAGCTTGAAACAGAATTGAAATCAACTACATCACCGGGCAGACTGTTTATTTCAGCTGACATTTTTGCAAATGATACCTCTGTGTGTGTGTGTGTGTGTGTGTGTGTGTGTTCAGCTCAAGATTTTACAAATGCTAAGCATACACGCTGCAGTTGAGCTATACCCCCAACCCAAATGATAACTTTCTAAATTAAGCAAGTAGTGTATGGAACTAAATTTTGGAGCAAGCTTCTTATTTTGCTGTGGAGTGGTGCTTTTAGTAGCATTGCCTTAGAGTACTGTGACCCTACTTAAACTAATGTCTAAAAACAGATGTGCTCTTCTGTCATACACCATGACTCTCTGTTTAAAGCCTCAGAGGACATTATTTCTGTGACTTTATTATGCATTTAGGATATTTTATATTTATCCACATACAATCTTGCATTGCTCATTCCTATTTTATCCCTAGGTTTTCATATGAGACGATTTTCTTTCTGCTTAAAAACACACCAGGAGCTGAGACAACGGCTCAGTAGGAAGCAGTGTTTAACATGCAAGAATGAGAACCTACAGTTGGGTTCCCAGTGTCCCTATAAAAATGTCTGGCATGGCTGTGCATTTTTTTAGCCCTACATTGGAGTGGGGAGCGGGCAGAGATAGGTGGATCCTGGGAGCTCGCTTAACCAGCCATCTTAGCCTAAACAGTGAGCTTCAGGCTTGATAATAGACCTTATCTCAAGAAAATAAGGCTGGGAGCTATAGAGGAAGTCAGGTGTTCTCCTCTAGACACATGGCTTCCGCATGTGAATGCACAGGTGTGTACACACATGTACACATTCACATGTACCACACATACTCACTCTTCTCAAATGCTTTTTAGCACTTTTTCTTAGTGTAGGAGTTCTTGGCAAACTGTATTCATCTGGAAACACTTCTTTTCCTTTAGGTTTAATAGATAAATTTCCCTGAGTATGTATTGTGTTCTAAGCTAGGGCACTTATTTTCTCTCAATACATTTAAGAAAACGATTCACTGTATTTTGGCTTCTTTGGTTTGTAAACCATGTATCTTAATTGCGCCTGTAACTGAAGCAAGTCTTCTCCCAACCATTATAAATGTCTCTTCTTGCTTTTCAATAGTTTTACAATTATTTGCCTCTCATATTTTCTTTCTTTTATTGTTTTTAGGGTTCATAGGATTCATAAGTCAGTTTCTGAGATGTTTGGCTAACCTCTGACCTTTCTAAATTCTCATGCTATGAGACAATGACTTTCATAAACAATACGTCTTTTTGCCAGGCTTTGTTTATCTCTCATGCTCTGCTGTGAATTTTTATTCTTTTTCTCTGTGCTTCAGTTTGGTTACAACAGTATTAAGAGATTTGGCTTCTAATTCACTAACTTCTCTTCTTTCCTTTTTAGTTTGCTATTAAAGCTCCTTACTGAGATCTTAACTTTGGATATTATACTTTCATCTCTATTTTGCATTTCTTTTTAAATTTGTAGGTTCTGAAAAATTTCTTTATTCCCTTGACCACATTTAATACAATCTGCTATCCAGATCCTATATATGTCTATTTGCACTGTTTGCTATTTCCCTTAGATTTTGATCATCATTTTCAGCATCTTAAAAGCCTACTTATTTTAGAATGTGTTTTAGATACATTATATGAAAAATAATTGTAGTGAAGATTGAGGGCCTCAGATACTTTTACCTCTCCTTATGGAAAGAGCATATTTGATTCTGGAAAGTGCTAGGGGACACTGAGTTCCTCATCACCCCAGTTTAGTCAGAAAGTGAAGATTTGAACTTCAGGAATTGAAAAAAAAATGTCAGTGATGATGTGGTACACACACTGTTTCCTGATTTTCTGAGAAAGAGCCCTTTAATGGATGTTTCTCTGCATGTTCATGTACTTAAGGCGAGTTTGGGACACAGTGGATCAGAGAAAAGACTGAACCTCCTGAGGTTCCCCAGATTGCCCTTAGACTTGAGATTAAATACGACCTCCTCTGAATTTATACCTTGCTGATATTCCCTGAAGATTCTGGATTTGCCAGTCAAACTCTAACCCCCCCTCCCCCGTGTATGTGTATGTGTGTGTGTGTGTGTGTGTGTGTGTGTGTGTATCTGTGTGTGTCCTATTGGTTATTTTCCTCTAAACAACCCTAACAACCCCAACATAAGGCCCAAAAACAACTTAGGGATTTACTGGGGTTCCGTTTCTTAGCAGACCCCAGACTCTAACTCGTTTGCTTTGAATGTTCATTGAAGACCCTGCTCTGCTTCTCTGCCTCTTGGCTATTTCTGTGTGATTTAGAAACTTCGCTAGTGGCTCACTATTCATTTCCTTCTCTTTCAGGGCTGTGGTTCGCATAATGATTCCCTGCCATGTTAGTTCTCTGGTTCTGTCAAACAGATTTTGAACTGTTTTCTTAGCTTTCTGAGTTGCTTTCAATGAGAAACTTGGTCTGATTTATCTACTTGATCATTTCCAGAGTGCTCTCCTGGGACAAATGTTTGTCCTTCTTGGAGAAAATCTAGGCAGGAAATCAGATGAAGAATTCAGTTTTGCTTTTATTAACTTCATACCTAAGGTGAGATATCGGGAAAGAGGTGGGATACATTAGTTGAAAACTCAGAAAATAAATCTCTGAAGGGAAGACCTGGTATTATCAAGTATATAGATAACGTTTAAAGTGATGGAAATGAATGAGATAGCATAAAGAGAACGTCTAAACAAAATGTGTGTGTGTGCATGTATGTGCCTCTCTCTCTCTCTCTGTGTGTGTGTGAGTGTGAGTGTGTGTGTGAGTGTGTGTGTGTGTGTGTGTGTGTGTGTATGTTGGAGGCGCAGTACAGGAGAGCTCTTTCGGGAATCCCAATGTTTAGACATTAGAGGAGGAGGAGGAGGCCTGAGTGAAATATTGGAGGTGTTTGTCGGGAGAATATGGAATCATACCAGCAAAGATAAAAGAGGATTTAAAGGAATACAAAGGATGGTCAAGGTGATCGATATGAGGACAAGTCTGAGAAAACGGGGGCTTAAAAAGTTTCTGAGTACCGGAGCCTCATGAATGTACCAAGGCACTTGACAAACGGCGGTACTTTGCAGCTGAGTGGGTGGACAGCCACAGGAAGAGTGATTCAGGGATGTGGGAGGCCGGGCCAGCAGCCATCACCCCGTGCCTTTCAATCTCTCTTCTGATAATGAGTTCCACGCCACTTCAACCTGAAAGACGTATTTGAAACCTTTGCTCCGTCCTTCTGGCAAATGATCTGGGTAATGCCCGTCAACAGCAAAGAAAGACAGTGGTGTTCCTTCTCTGTCCTAATCTTCTCAGTTCTCCGCGGGAGCGAGCGTGTCCTTTCCTATTCCAGAGTTGCACACAGCTGCACCTCCGAGGTGAGCTTTGGTTGTCCACCCACGCAGAAAGCAGTTGGATGCCTCACCACAAGCGGGAGGCAGGGGGACGCACAGTTCTCATCCTCAGCTGAAGGCTCTTCCTGACAAGCTTTTGCTATTTTCACCTTTCAGTGCA